CTAGTAGCGATGCCAGGAGCCCCTAGTAGCGTCCTTGCTCCCAGTAGTAAGGCCAGGAGCTCCTAATAGAATATCAGTCACTTCATTGGGGTCTAAACAGGGTAAATGTCGGTGACTCCAGTGCAACTCCGCCTCCAGCGCCCACAGAGCTGCTAAGCTGGACGAGTTCCTCTCCAGCGTCCGCCGCGCACAGCGTGCGGCTTGCAGGGGTGAGGCCGTCAGGTGGTGCATCACCTGGCGCCGAGTTGGTCACATTTGGCAGAGGACAAAATCGTCTTGTTTTCCTTGTTTCGAACAACCTAATAGCGATGGCTTCCAAACAAAAACCGCAGGTCCAACTCTGGTGTTCTGGCAGTTAGGGAACATTGTTTTGCTCGGGGGGGATTCAATTTGTTTAATGTTGGATCTTTCTTCCGGCATCCTTCCAACAACAACCACTAGAACTCCACCAGACTCATCTTTACGCCTACTTTGGGGGTGTGGCTTTATCAGATTGAAATGCGCTGGGAACCATCTTTTCCGGGAGATTCATCTATCTTGGGGATTCTTGGGGTGCTGTTCCTCAAAGGGGCCTCCACTCACATCCCCTCACATTGATCCAAGTTCACCGCTCAACTCGAAGCAGGAGCTCCTGGTCCCTTCTTCAGGGTGTGTAGCTCAACTAGGGAGACCTCCCAGGCAACGACCCCCCTGGAAGAAGGGAAATAGAGCCAACCAGGGCCAGGGGGTCAACCCAACTGTTCGTAGCTCGAAATCTGGACTCGTCTTGTCGTTCCGTCCCCCCCAACGTGTTGCATGGTGAATCTGAACCCCGGAGCCGGAGATCCGCGGCAAGAGCCAACTTTCCGCCCTGTTCTTGTTTAGTGGATAGGCCAATTACCAAAAAAAGGTTGAAGGTTGCGCACTGACTGGGTAGGGAATGGTTTGGCTGGGGTATAAGTCAGCAAGTGGCCACACGATATTTGAGCAAGTTTCGCCTCGGTCGCGCAAGGGGAGTCATTGTCCACAACTGATGCCCCTATAAAGCCAATAGTGTCTAAACCTCCATTCCATCTGCAGCATAACCACTTCTCACGCCACCTCAAAAGAAGCAACAAAATTATCCCGGCAAGAGACCCCAAGCAGTGTCTTGAGGTCTAGAGGTCTAAGGTCTAGGTGTAGAAGCAAAAGGTATTGGGCTCCAGAGAGATCTCGAGATGTAGAGGTCTAGAGATCCAGAGATAGAGAGATCTAAGGGTCTAGAAAGATCTAAATGCCTAGGTCTTAGAGATCCAAGAAGGTCACTGGGTTCGGAGATCTAGGGCCAAAAGGCTTTGAAATCCAGAGATATCAAGAGCTCTAGGTTCAAAGGCCAGGAAACTTAGAGGTTTCAAGGTAGGGGACGAGCATGGATGTTTGAGAGGGGGTTCAAAGGCCACGATTCACTCCAAAGCACTGTGCCTGCCACGAAATCTGCACATCGAAGTAAAGCTGCTCCGATCGGCACCACAATGAGAGCGCAGGGAAAGCACCCGCACGGGCCCAGCAGTTCTTCGTACTGCATGAAGATCTCAAAATGAATGAATGTACCGTAAATAGCAGCGAATTAGCCGCCCACACATGCGAGCACCACCGATCAAACACCACCGTAAGAGTGACCACACTGTGACCACACGGTTTGGGGAGAAAAAACCGTGAAAAACGGGTTCGAAAGCGTGAAGAAAGCGTCAAAAAAGCGTCGTTCTTCGCGTCTCCGCCGGTCGTCACCTGTTGCAGCAGATCTTGCACTTGCCTCTTCACCCCGCTGGGCGTCACTGAGGAGTGAAGCAGCCGCAAGGCATCGGCCAAAAGCCGCTCCTCCTCGCAGCTGAGAAAGGACACGCAGCTCGAAGATGAGCCAAACACATGGAGTGAGTGACACAACGTGCCACAGGCAGAACTTCTTCAAGATTGGGCAGGTTGAACATGCTTGAAACCCCTTTTCGTCAGGCAAAATGTCGGGGGGGTGTAGACCTGTGAGAGTCAAGAGCCCGAAATCACTGACCTGGAGATACCTGGAGTGGTTTCAGTGGTGGGAGGAAAGGGGCGCCACCTTTTGGATTCATCTGGTGACCCTTTCCAGTTGCCACTCACACAACTCTTGAATCCACCTTGTGCCCTGCACATGTGAGGGATGACCTGGTGTGGGTAGGAATTTTTAGTGGAGAAGGGAGAAGGAGTGTGTCTTGACCCGATACAGACATGGTCTGCGTCCATCATCAGACATCGAACAAGCATCGAGTGCGAGTGCGAAACCGGTGAGGTAAAGAGGACCTGATTGAGAACTCGACAAAAAAGCACCCAGTGCAGCTCGAGAGTCTTCCACCGACCAGTCATCAGGCAAAACCTCTAGCAGCGGCAGAAAGCCTCGAACACGCTGGCATCTCTTGACTGATCAGTTGGCAGACCCAGGGTAGGTAAATACGAGTACCATGGAGTGTTGGGACAGTCACGAGAAACAGCAGTACACTTGGATGATCAACTTTTTCTTTTCCCCAGCTCACTTGGATGTGTCCTTGGTAGACAGACTCCCCAAACTTCGAGCATAGAATCGGCAACAACCAGACCGTACCTTATCCTGGAAGTCCGTTCGACCAATTGAAAAATGGTGGACCTAAACTTACAGAGGGATTCAAACCTAGAGTACCGTGGGCGGCACAGGAACAGGGAGCGGTGAAAGTACTCTCTTGCAGGGGCAAACCTTTGCAAGTGAATCAAACATCAGCAACTCCTCTACCGCCTGGCACATGGACATGGCCTGTCCAGCTATCCCAAAAGACATGCATTTTCATGGTATAAGCGCATGTATACCAGGACCCTCCAAGGGGTGTGTATCATTAGCCTCTTTAAAGGTGATTGGGGGTGGAACACAAAAACCGTCAGGTGCTGGGTCGCTTCTAGGAACAAAGGACGCTACTAGGGGCTCCAGGCCTTACTAGGAGCGTTCGGACGCAACTAGGAGCGATGCCCTTTGCTACTAGTAGCGTTCTTGCTCCTAGTAGTAAGGCCCAGTGCCCCTAGTAGCTTCTTGTTCCTAGTAGCGATGCCAGGAGCCCCTCCTTTCCCTCTCCCGCTCCTCCCGACACCCAACTCAGTCCGAGCGTCGCAGCCGCTCGCGTGCCGCGCTCCAGCCGCTCGGTCCGTCTCCGCGCAGCTCCAGCGGCATCACAGCGCCCGGGCAGCGCCCCGCGAGTGCGAAGCCATGGGATGCACCGACGGCCGTTCGCGCAGCGCGTGTGGGGGAGTGGGGCGGGGGGGAAGTTGTTCGGTCTGCTGTTGGTGTGGAGGGGTCGCGGTCAAAAGGATCCTCCTCTTGTTCACCAAAAGCTTTGCGATGCTGGGGATCTTGGAGTCAACCTCTCTCAAAGGAGCTCCAAAAGGGAAGCGCGTTTCCATCTTGTTATAGAACAGTGAACGCTCTGCCAAAGTGGCAGTCAGCACTGGACTTTCAATTATAGTAACATGCGTAACATGCAAAAGTTGCCTCCAAAGAGGGTGAGCGTGGAGGGCCAGTCGCCCATTCACCATTCTTTCGAAGGGCAGCATCAGGCAATTTGCCGATGCTCAAAGCCAGTGATGCCCGCTTCTCCATGACCCTTTGACGTTTGCTTCCTCTACTACACCCTTGTTCCTTGATGCTGTGGAGGTGTCACACGACTGGGCCAAACCATGACGCCTGGAGAATGAATTGGCCGTATGTCGTTTCATGGCCGAGGTCGAAGTTCCGTTCCTCCATCCTTCGCAGGCAGCAAGCACAAGCAACGGAGCTCTGAAGACACGTACGCACAGCTTTCTGGTCCATGTTGAACGACTGGTGCCCCCGACTGGTGCTTGACTCCCGATTTTCTCAGGTCACTTGACCGTCCTTAACTGGGCTCTGACGGAGCTCTGTCACAACACCAGTTCAACATCTCCATGAGTCCTCCCTCCCCCCACTCGCAGCACTCGCAAGCTTCGTCCTCTCGCAGCTTATTCCGCATGCGGTTCATCTCGTGCTCCTCCCCGTGCACCAAGACCTGCCGAACGCCGAACCGGGTCTGGTTGCGGACGCGGAACAAGCAGCCGTTCCGGATCGGCATTCGCTCCGAAGTCTCGGGAGAGTTCCTTTCTGAATGTGATCTCGCCGGAACGCTCGAAGAGGTGAGTCCAACTCCCATACACTTCATGAGACTGGCATACATTTATATATACATTGAGGTGGGGGATTTGGGGTAAATGTAAGTAAACATGCCAGGCCCATGCAGTGGGAAGTGGGGGAAAGTGGGGGAAAGCTCGGCCTCGAGCACATGAAAAGAAGCGGAAAACTGTGGATCTCTGGATCCGGCGTTGGGACCAAATAGGGAGACCGAGACCAGGGAGACCAAATAGGCCCAGGACAATTAAACCAGTCGACCCAGCCAGAGCCGGGGAGGTCTCCCTATTGAACATCCGAGACAGTCCACTTGGACTGCTGGGAGGGGAAGAGCCCAAAGCATTGCGCAAACGCGCTTGAAAGCAATGGTCAGATTGAGAATCTGACCGCTCAGTTTCCGAAGCGAAGGTTGATGCTGTTCCACCTGTTCGACCACTCTTGCTACATCACTTGATGGCACCACACTCTGGACCGGTAGGAAGACAAACAGCGACGCTCAGAGAGCGCTGCGCAAAGTCCCAGGTCTTCAAAGTGCGGCCGGCACTGGCCAACCAGGCAGCAATATGCTGCAGTTCCATCGAAGTGAAGCAGTGAAGTTGATGTTTTTCCACCTGTCTTGTTTAGTGGGGAAACCAATTCCCCAAAAGAGGTTAAGACTTTTCCACTGACGGAGTAGGCAAGAGTTGAAACTTCTCAACGAATTCACAAGGCGAACTCCTACAAATGATGGAAGGGAATTCGATTGGCTCATCTCTGAAGGCCACCATCAAAGCCAACGACTGGTATACAGCGACTGTTGCAAAGGTATTTCAAGAAATCTATAACAGAAGCGTATCGAAGCCATGTAAAACCATGTCTCAAAAGAACATCTTTATAATTCTACAGTTTATCATTTCTTCCACCTCTGGCTCGTCGTCTTGCCTTTTTCCACCTCTTTCTCCAAAGAGCTTTGCTGTGAGGAGTTCTCAATTCTTGCACAGAAACGGGCCCAGGATCCGGATGCTGGGCTGAGATGGTTCTGCTTTGTCTCCCTTCGTTTCCCTTTGGCTCTTGGGTGATCGGGCAGTGATGATTCGCTTTTGTCTTCCTGGAAGTCTCGCTTTTTCTTTGGCTCAAAGAGCTGGTGGCAAACACTTTCAGACTTCGCTGAAAACGAGAAACCGGCGCCCGTGCTGCGCTGCTTCGGGGTCGATGCAAACGTGGCATTGTTGGCCCGTTAAGCTGCCTCTCCCGTCCCCGACACCTCTCTGGGTCTCCCAGGCCACGACATTGGCCTTGAGTCGTCGGATGAACTCTGAGGTCTGGTTGTAGTCCTCCCAAAGATGGCCCCAACCCCTCCCCCGGCCCTGGGCTGAGAGAGAATTACTCAATCCTAGCAATGGGCAACCTGCTAGCGGCCTGGGCTCCATCCGAATAGGGCTCTTTTCGTCATGGCACCCTACACCGCCCCAAGCCTCGGTGCCATGTCTGCCATGTCTGCCGTGGGAAAAAACCAGGAGCTACCGGGAACGCTCCGCACCCCTGGATGACCTTGGTAGAGACGATAGCGGTCAGGAGAGTCCTTCTTTTCCAGTCGGTCCACGTTTTCCCGAATCCGGGCCCGAAGCAGCACATAGGGTTTGGTTCGGGTCGGACCCCTGTGTTTCGGTGTTGGGTCCGACCACTGCCAAACTGCCCGGATTCTTAGGGGTTGGTTGTAAAGACAACCACCTCTTTGATTTCGACGCTACTAGGAACAAAAGGCATCGCTACGAACGGAGCGATCGTACGCTACTAGGGGCTCCTGGCCGTACTACTAGTAACAAGAACGCTACTAGTAGCAAGGACGCTACTAGGGGCTCCTGGCCGTACTACTAGTAACAAGAACGCTACTAGTAGCAAGGACGCTACTAGGGGCTCCTGGCCGTACTACTAGTAACAAGAAGCTACTAGGAGCTTTTTCGCAGCAAACAAACATTTCAAGCCTCCGGCTCCACGCTCGACCGGCTCGACGTCCGTGCAGACTCACAGTCCGAATGGGCGGAGAAGGACATGAACTTCACGGTGGCCTTGACGTTCACCTGGCGCCAAAGGGCGCCATGCACAGGGAAGACCTACTCTCCTTTGGGGGAAGAGAGGTGGGGGGCTGTTGAAAGGCCGGGGCGGGAGGTGTTTCAGGGCGAGTTGGACTGTAGGAAGAGGGTGAGTCTGACACTACCAAGCATTTGTTTGACTTTGTGGACTGCCCAGCAGTTCCCTCCCGGAATGACCCCATCCGATGTAGACAGATCAGGGGGTGGTTGACTCAGGGGGTTCCTTTAGGTACAATATTCCTATACATTGACATCCTTCTAAGTCCAATAGACATTATCTTTTTGTCTTTGCACCACTGAAGCAAAGGACATTCCGAAACTCGGTTCACCTACCTAGTCAAATTGGACTCGGAATGTTTGGTACTCGAGGTGCACCTTAGTCCGATTGGATCCCTTCGTCTCCCAAGCGCTCCAGTACTTGGATTGTTCAGGAGCCGGCAAAAGCATCTTCCCCAGGAGATCAGGGATTCACCCAGGAACCGGGAAAAAATAGACATCACCTATCATCACCTGAACATCAACAACCCAAAAGTTATGCTATTTGTGATGCCAACCTGATGGCGCCATCACTTTCGCGTCGTCCAACCGGCTCCTTGAGCGAAGCAAATTGGTTTCACCGCCCGACTTGGGTAGGCTTTTCATGGGCTGCAAGGCGCGCGGCGAACCCTGCAAAAGTGGCTCACCCATGTCATTGGGCGGAAGAACACCATTCACGATGGATTTTACATTGATTTGACACTACAAAACCAAACCGAACTCGAATGGTTTTCTCGGAAGGAGTTACTTCAACCACTTCGACGGAGTCGTTCCCAACCCTCGAAGAGACCGGTCCATCGCATTGACATGGGCGATGTCGGATTTGGTTGGTTGGAGGCCATCGCTATTAGAAACAAAGAAAAACGAAAAGGAAGACAGGCCTTAACGAAAATCTCGGACTTCCCCGCGGTTTTTCGGGGGTCCCAGTTCGTCGGTTCCGGCCCCGCACCTTGCGTCCATCATTCAGGGTCACGCTTTCCTGCTGCAAGGAGATCAGCGGTCAGTCGTACGGCGCAGTCAGCCGTGCAAAGAAAGGCTTTGATCTGTCCTTCCATTTTTCATATTTAGTCTGATGTGATTCAACATCACATTCAAAGACATTGACCGAGCACTGAGCATATGATCTTTCTCCAAAGATTCACTGCAACCAAACCAATGCTTTCATCTTACATTTGACCAAAAGAAGGCATCCTCAGTGAAGACACATGGCTATGGATCAAAGCCCGGGCAGCCTGGTTGACCCCTGAGAATGGAGAAATCCCACTGGAAAACACACACACACACACACCCATATAACGTTCTTTTCTGTTATTGTACGGGATGTGAACGTGGTTTGGTGAGGTTTTGACTCACAGCCACAGGTAGCTAGCCTGATGTAGCTGGCTGGGGCAACTGTACCAAAGACCTGTAGAATGCTGGGGTTCCCTCAGGGGAGGCGCTTTTCCCAAACAGCTGCATTATTCCTCCCAGGGAATCCATTCGACTGAACTATTGACCAATCACTTGGGGGTGCTTTGTGATGGGTCCCATCCGCTGCGAGTAACGAGCGTGCATCGCTACTGGTAACTAAGAAGCTACGAACGTTACACCATTATCGTCCTAGCACAGCAATGACTTTCTCCTTTCATTTGACCTCTTTGTGGGAACGATCCGGCTCCACGACGCTTCCCGCGGCTCCACTGCCGAGGGACGGGATCGCCCTTGAGCTCGTGCGCCAGGGTGCCACCCACCGAGTAACCCGTCAGAATGACGCCGTTCCTCCGGGCCGGAGCTGGAGACGTTTCGGCGGAGCTGGGGTGCGGAAGGGTCTCCCGGAGGGGAGGGAAAGACAGCAGATGTTTGGAAGCAAAGCTCATGTTTGGAGCGTGGCAGAAGGATTTTGCATACCCTAAGGAGTCAAAGACAATGAAACGAATGGTCTAACTGGACTTCTAGGGCATACTCATTCTTTATAAGACTTTAATTCAGGTGGCGGTTGACGAATGCTCAATATGTCGTGCACATTTTTAACACTGATCGCCTTTCCATGCGACACGGGCCAACACCCCCCCCGTTGTTCAACGACACCCCGACAAGCACTGGACATCGCCAAAACCATCGGTGTGGACCGGGCCCCTAGTAGCGTTCTTGTTCTTAGTAGCGATGCCCTTTGTTACTAGTAGCGTCCGAACGCTCCTAGTAGTAAGGCCAGGAGCCCCTCGCGTTCTTGTTCCTAGTAGGTGACTCAGGCCGCTGCTTCTTCTCAGGTGCCCAGGATTCAAAGAGCTCTCGACTGGCGCCGCTCTGGAGCATTCCTTGGCATGTCGGAGGGCCACCAGCGCCGGGGGGGAACAAAGGACAAAGAAGAAATGCTTGGTGTAGATAGGGGTTGGTTAGCGATTGAAAGCATCAATCACATCACCTATACACTTGGGATGCCAAAAATAACAATGCGAACGATCTCACAGGGCCCAAGGGAGACCTGCAAAGCTCAGTGGCCTACCTTCTGCGTGAATTGGTAGCCGACAAAAGCAATCCTTTAGGCTTGAGGCGTGTGAAATAAGCCAAAAACAATGAGCTGACCATCGATGCGAACATCTCTTGAAGACAACGACATTTTGCAGAAAGATTCAAGCCCTCCCTGGTTGCTGGAAGTGGATGATTCTGGAGGCACCTGAACTACGACTCCTCCAGATGGTTGGAACAAACATGAACAACCACACATTCTTTGACACCATAATGAAACCAACCTGAACTCTGGTTCGTCCGGTCTCTCCCAAAATGCTCTCAACCCAAGAACCTGCTCAGCATGCGTGTCACCACCCACCGTCCACCGTCCACTCGATGTGGTGTCACCGCGCGGCCGGGGGCAGCCAGCACCACGCAGGCGCCAATTTCGTTCTCCAACTGAGCGAAGGTATGCCTCCACATGGAGCGTTCGGTTGAAGGCCATCCCTACTATGGGTGGAGGCCAATTCTGTTAGGCTCCTTATGCTAGAAGGTTGGAGGCCATGGCTACTAGGTTGGAGGCCATCGCTAGTAGGTTTCCTTTTGCTATGTGCCCTATTGCTACTCTTCGCCCTTTCCTAGGGCGCCGAGTTCGTTCTCCACACGGAGACCCCCGGGGGAAAGCGAGCGGCCTCGAGACACGGCCAAAGAGACACCATGAGAGGCGGCCACGCAGAAGCGAGGTCGGCGGAAAGGGGGAAAGGCAGGTGTTGGTGTTTTGGCTCCGTAGCCTGAGGGTGTTTTGGTCTTTTTGCAAGAAATTACATATTCAATAGAACTACAAAAGACATGTCGTCTTCAATCTGCTACATGTCCTTTTCCAATCGAAACGATCTTCAAACATCGCCCCCAAACGTCCACCGACGCCCACGGCTTCGTCAGACGTGTTCTCTTGCCATTCAACTGACTTTAGACACTTCAAGGTATCAGATCTGGCTTACCCCGAGTGTCGAACCGGGCTTGATCGGATACCGAAAGCAAAAGGCGACTGACATCGGATGAAGTGAACCTCATCTATCGGGAGTCGACCGCTTTCTGCACCAGTCGAGTCACCGGTCTGGGCAACCACTCTGCCGTCTGCTGTCGAGTCTGCTGTCGAAAAATCCGATAGTAGACAGACATGAGAAGTGCATCGTCAGATTCTCCGAGAGTCCTCTCGTACCAGCTTCTTGTCCTCGAGCTGCAGCATCTTCATGCGGATCTTGTGGATCAGCTCGCTACGAACGGAGCAAGGACGCTACTAGGAACTCCTGGCATCGCTACGAACGGAGCAAGAAGCTACTAGGAGCAAAGGGCATTGCTACGAACGGAGCGATCGGACGCTACTACATCTTCATGGCCGCCATCGAGCCAAACGATGCCAAGTTGTTCGTCTCAGACGAAGCCAGGAGGACGGTTGGATGATTTCGGCCATGGCGGCCCTCACGGTGTGTGAAGTGTCAGAATACCCATGAACACACCCATGAGAAAAGGTCCCTGAGGAGGTATTCGAGAAAAAACACCGAGAAAAACACCACCGAACAGCACCAGCGCCGCGCTCCGTGGCAAAATGGAGATGAGTAGTCTACTTCCTGTGGTGACAAGACAATCCTAGACTCCTAGACTAGTAAGAGCCCTCCCGGAAAGGACGCCCTGTAAGGAAAGGAAACGCAGGTCATGTAACTCTTCGTGCTCAGGTCCAACCTCTTTCAGGTCCTCTTCAGACCCCCGGGCCTGTCTGGCATGTTCTGGATGTACTTCAGGATCCAGGGGTTGTTACATCGATTCGCCTGCCGCCAACGGGTCGTACAGCAAGCAACCCTCCGCCGATTTCGGCTCGTAAGAAACACCCGTCCAGCGGTTGAGCCACTTGAGGTCCCTCAATCGTCGATTCGAAGAGCCACTTGAGGTCCTTTCCGCATGTCCCAGCGGGTCATCGACCGGTGTCCAACACACCCATATCGAAGCAACGGAAGGATTTTGCTCTCCAGGAAGGTGGAGGAACAGAACAATAATGTAGACTCTTGATTAATACCCCCCCATATGAAGAGGTGTTTTGCGATGCGTAGAAGAGGTGTTTCTATTCAATTGGAGTCTACATTCAACACGTCTAAACGGCGGATGGTCTGAAACGGTGATTTGGACCGAACACGTGGTGATTTCATCACCCGCTGCATACCCATGTTTATGTGTCTTATGTTTACAGGCATGAAACCGATCAAAGATCGGGGTGACCTGGTCAAGAATCGAGAAGATGCCAGATGCAAGCTTCCATGATTTAGACTCTAGACGCGAGAGTGGTTTGTTCAAATGTTTTGTCGAGTCAATGTATATGATCAATGGATTCAAGGAGAACTGACCAGGACAGGGCATTGGAGGTGACAATTCCACCGAAAAAAGGTCAATGGCTACAACATGCTACAGTACAACCACACAAACCCTTGATCAGGAACTTCCAAAGTGCAACAACATGTGAACATCAAGCTAGTTTGTGGTTTCAACTCAAGCGACAAAAACTAGATTTTGCCAATGGGATCCATCTTTTAAAGGTTGAACATCAAAATACCTGAGACCACCATGCAGTGCAGTAAGAGAAAGCAACCCTTGAGAAGCTTCGGCAAGCGGGAGACGCCCGGAACACCCATCCAAATCAAAACAAACATGGACCAGGACAGGGCGGAGGTGTGTTGTGATTGCCAGTGGCTCTTGTGAAGCTGTTTTCTCCGGAATGGGCACCCAGCGGGTGCACCGGTGGTTTTACACGTCAAGTGACGAGTCAATGGTCAGACTGTTCAGAAAACCGTGGAAGGCAAGGACTTGGTGTGTGTTCCGTGGGATTTTGGCCACGGAAGAAGCTTCTGACTTGAAAAACGAGCCTTTCTGACTTGACGTTTCCAAGTTGAGGACCTAAGTTCATGCACCAACGTGGACATACACCATTTCTGACTCGGGGACCTGAGAGTTCATCGCAAGCGACTCCTTTTTGCTTTCTGGCTCACACACACACAACATGTCGCACGATGGGGAAACTGCCCGGCACTCTGTGGGGACATGTGAGGAAACAATGCTCCTGCTTTTCACTTGAAGGAATTTCTGTGACATTCCAGTGACACGTCCCATGGCCTGCTTTCAACCCATGCTCCAGTTCCTGGCTTTCAAAGGATTGGCCTCACCACTTGAGGGCCAAAGGAGTTGTGAGTCCGACTTGATGCATCCGTGCTTGGAACGTGCTTGGAACCGAGGGAGGATGCACGTCATGATGCAAACTGTTTCGAAGGGACGGAGTCTTTGACCTTCGAACGCGTCCGATCGTAGCATCCGAACCCTCCGGACAAGGAGCGATGCCCCTGCCAGTGACGTTCGTAGCGAACCTTGTTCCTCATAGTGCCAGGAGCTACTATAATTAGCACTTGTTACTACTAGCTTCTTGTTACTACCAGTAAGGCACTTGTTACTAGAAGCGATGCACTTGTTACTACTAGCTTAAGATGTAGTTGTGTTCGAAACAGCATGTCATCCGAGTCATCCTTCGAACTTGCCCATGTCTTTCTCCATCGAACTTGCCCCCTGCTAACGAGCCAAACACTGTCAAACACTTGGCATATTCCCAATCTCCGATTCGACCTCCTCGTCCGATTCAGGACATTCAGGATCTCTTCCGAGGACGATTCCAAAGGCCCTCAGGTGCTGCAGAGCAGAAGGAATAAGCCTCGACACACGGTGCACATTCTGCACATATGCTCTCTTGGCAGGGGCTGATAGCCGGGAGGCCAATTCACAGAATGTTCCCACCTGTACATCCTGAGCTCTCCTTCGATCTCAACATGAATCGTGGCACCACTCCCGGTGTCCACCGGGACCGCGTCCGCTGCATGCGCGCACCACTGGTCTTGTAGCATGCAACCACTGCACGGCACGGAACTACCCGCGACAGCATCACGGTCTCTAAGCCAAAGGCTCCATAGCCCATCCGGAAACATCAACGAAAAGTAACCCCCGTGTTCGGGGAGACTCACTCTACTGCCCCCTACTCTTTTGGGTGCTTGAGCACAAAGCTGCAGTACAAGAACATGTCTTTTGCAAATGACTGTGGCTTCTGCATTTAGTTTCTGGAAACCGGAGATCCGCATAGGCTCGGATCACACGCTGTGAAAACGCAAATGAACACTTCCCCATTCGCCCGAAGCGATCCTGCTCTTGAACTGAGAGGCTGCACATGTTGGTGTACGTCCTGAGTGTGTTCAGCGCAGCTGGGCGCAGCCGGACACAGAAACTCCACGTAACTCATTTGGAACTGACATATTTAGAAACAAGGACGCTACTAGGAACAAGTGCCACGCTACTAGTAACAAGTGCCTTACTAGTAGTAACAAAAAGCTATTAGAAACAATAAGCTACTAGGAACAAGTATACCAGCACCTGAAGGGATCTCCAGAATACCCTACACGACTTGTGGATCTTTAAAGGTCCAGGTATATTACCCTAGGTGTCGAACCACTGTTAATTTGGTCTTTACCGAACCACCGTTGTTTTACTAAGGATTCTACACTGCAAGTCTAGGTCCACCGATTTTAGAATTATCTTGGACTTCCATAGTATCAATATATGCCTTCATTGACCACGTGTAATTGATCGATTGATGAGTATTCCAGTGTGATGTATTGCTGGGGATATGTTATGTTCGCTGCAAAACATGAAAAAAACACTCTTTCCTTGAACTGCTGGTGTGGTAATAGATCTGAATCATGCAGAATCTATCTGTTCGCTAGGCTTCGATCTGATCCAACTACCAGTGATTTCATGGTGTTTCCCGGACAAACTCCGTTTAATGGAATTGTAGAGAAAAACAATCATGCCAACCTTTGTAACCTGGAAGGCTATTCTTTTGGGGTTCTGGTTGGCGTTTTAAACGAACGAACCTCCTAGAGAATAGACGGCTGATCGCTCAATCAACAGTTCGACCACTCTTGCAGTACATATTCTCTATTGTCCTTATTGTCCTTAAAGGATCCTGTTCCTTCAATTCTTGTGAGCACCCGAAACACACCAGCTCTCACAGACCTATCATGTTTTGGGCTTAAAAACTAAAAACTACTATCCTGAATGGCTTCTTCAACAGCTACCACCTCCACAGAAACTTCCTGCGTCCAAACAATGTATCTCGCCAAGCAGCTCGAAAATGCGCAAACATTTGGTGGCCATGGGAGAGTTGTAAAAAATGGGGATCTCATGCAAGTCGGAGTTCCGTTCCTCAGCGTAAGAACGACAGGGACGCAAGGGCTTTCTTCATCCCCTTTTTCTCCAACCACCCTTCTCTTTGGAGAAACTGGGGTGGCAACGTGACACACGTTTCTCTCCCCGCAACAGTGAAAAAACCTGGTGGGTTGGCAGTCACCTCTTGGTGTGCTTTGGAGGCGTTGAGAGAGAGGCCATATAGTCTTATCGCCTGTGTTCTGGACAAGGAATAGAATAGATCGTGTTGCCTCTGCTCTGCCATGAAGGTGGTATCTGTTCTGGGGAAACGGTTTCAAACATCTGCGCAGAGTAGGCAGCAAACTCTCAAGTGCCTGTTAAAAAAATACACCACCGTAGCCGTAGACCCCAAAAAGGTGGGACAACAACGAAGCATTCCCAAGTCCACTTTTTGAGACATCAACAAGAAGGGAGACAAGAAAGAAGACAAAAGGAAACAGAAGGGAGACAAGACGGACACAGTGCCCAACAAGAAGGGAGACAAGAGGAAACAGAGGGGAGACAAGACAAACACAATCACCAACAAGAAGGCAGGCAAGAAGGGAGACAAAAGGAAACAGAAGAAAGACAACACGTGACCCAACAAGAAGAGAGACAAGACCGGACACAAAGGGAGACAGAAGGGAGACAAGACGGACACAGTGACCAACAAGAAGGGAGACAAAAGGGAGACAAGGCGGACACAGTGACCAACAAGAAGGGGGACAAAGGGAGGCAAGCCAGACGGAAGGCGGACACGCTGTCCCGTAGGCGGACACTCCTAGAAAGCCTTGAGAACCCCTAACGGTAACCTGTTTGGGGAAGTGCAGAAATCACAGGGGAAACAAATGAGTAGAAATGCTGTATGGCCAGCGGAAAAGGGCGGACACCAGCAGTGCACGCACTGAGCCTGGGAGACAAAAGCAAATCACTTTCGAAATGCTACATGGCCAACGGAAAAGGGCGGACACCAGCTGCGACAGACTTGGGATACAAATGAATTGAATAGAAATGCTACATGGCCAGCGGAAAAGGGCAGACACCACCAGCGGAAAAGGGCAGACACCACCATGACAGACCTGGGAGACAAGCGAAGAGAAATGCTGCATGGAGACCTGGGAGACATATGCATAGAAAATGCTGCGTGGCCAGCGGCAAAGCGGACACCAGTGACAGACCTGGGAGACAAATGAATAGAAATGCGGACACCGCCAGTGACAGACCTGGGTGACATATGCATAGAAATGCTACATGGCCAACGGAAAAGGGCGGAAATCAGCAGTGACAGACCTAGGAACAAATGAGTGGAAATGCGGAAACTGAGATCACTTTGCTTTGTCTCTCCTTGTCTGCCATGGCATGCCTGGATGCTGGGCTGAGATGATTTTGCTTTGTCTCCCTTTGTCTCCCCTCGTCTCCCACGGCGTGTCTGGATGCTGGGCTGAGATGACTTTGCTTTGTCTCCCCTTGTCTCCCATGGCGTGTCTGGATGCTGGGCTGGGGTCACTTTGCTTTGTCTCTCCTTGTCGCCCGTTCTCTCCCATGGCATGTCTGGGTGCTGTGCTGAGATGACTTTGCTTTGTCTCCCCTTGTCTCCCTTTGTCCCATGGCGTGTCTGGATGCTGGGCTGAAATGATTTTGCTTTGTCTCCCTTTGTCTCTCTTTGCCCCCCCTTGTCTCCCATGGCATGTCTGGATGCTGGGATGAGATGATTTTGCTTTGTCTTGCTTGCTGCTTGGTCTCGCTTTGTCTCCCCTTCTCTCCCGTGGCGTGTCTGGATGCTGGGCTGAGATCACTTTGCTTTGTCTCTCCTTGTCTCCCATGGCGTGTGGAAAACTCCGACTGCCGCTGCAGTTTGGGGTTGATGCTGGTGTAATTTGTTAACGCGTTGGAAGGTCCAGGCCATTCGTATACCAGCCCCGGATGAAACAAGACGGGCTAAATAATCCAAGCCAGGGGCATAACCTTACCCTTGGAGGGGCAGCGGCTGAGGAGGAAGCCCGGGACGGACCTGCAGCCAGGAGCTGGCCAGGAAGGGAGGCTGTCGTCGAGGTGGGCTGCGTGCTGGTCAAAGGGGGTGCTGGCTGCATGCGTCAGGAGAGCAAACCAGCGACAGTGGCCAGGCGTGGGGCGACAGGGGCTGCCTGTGCGGAGATGGAGAAAGTAGGCGCGTTCGGAACTCAAGCGAGAAGACGGTGCCTGTATGTAGTTCGGGGTTATAGGTGCGCTGGTTGGAGGAATGATGTCATGCACAGCGGCTGTGTGGTAGGCGCCGGCTCTGTGCTGATCCCAAAGCTCATTGAGCCAAAATGGTTACAGTAGCTTGTGTAATGAAACAGGACTTCAAGGAACTTGCATGGTCTTGAGCAAGGACAAGTCTTGGCAAGGGAAGCCAGAGACAACCAGGTCAACTGTCTCCACGACCCTGGCACTAGCTCATGCGCGTTGCTGAACAAGAGGGCCACATTGGGTTAGCGTGTTGTGCAAGCTTCCTGCGCTTGTTGCTGTCGACTTCAGCAAAATCCCGCGCAAATGAGGCAAGCGCAGTCTACGCCATTTCTTCTTATCAAGGCGAGCGGCCAAGCATGGGAACCCAAGGCCCCGAGACCTGCGCAAAGACCAAGGGTCAGGCTTGAGCGCCATTCGCGCAACATCCACGCCAGAACAGCTGAGTTTTGCAGGGTGCGCCGGTCCACGCGGGCATCTCCAGGGCTCACCTGTGAAGGAGGTGGGACATTGATGGTGGAAGGCACCTGACCATTAAGCCATGAGGACCCCAGGGCAAGGCTAATGAGCTCGGGGTGGAACGAATTGCCGGCAAAATTGCGGATGGTCCTATGCTTTTTGATAGAACGGAAGACTTGGCATAGACCAGAAATTTGGAGGACCTCTTGGTCTGTGAGGAATCGAAACGGGACAACAATGAATTCATTATGAAATAGGGGAAGTGCATCTTGCAAAGCAAAGTCCTTGCACAGGCGGAAGTTTTTCCACGATCGTAGGATCCAGTCGTTCAACCCTTAGGTGGTTTAGCCGCAGCCAAGAAAGCTTAGGGCACCACGGGCCCTTCAAACATGCTTTTATTTATTGCAATCTGCTGCCAAATGCAGGCACCGATTTGCAGCGTCGTTTCTCAAGATCCACCTGCCAAAACAAAAATCCACACACAAAAGATCGCGAACGAGATAATAGTGAAGCGTCAGGTGCATCGTAAAGAACAGTACACTTGCGGGTCCGCAGATGCCAAGTCGTCCTTGATCTCTGCCTGCAAAGGTGAGGTCTGTGCATGGGCTTCCACTGATGACAAAGATTTTGCAGCCTTCACAAAGAGCAACAAGTTCTCGAAGTAGGTGAGCATTATCGACAAAAGGGTGTCTACATCACTGATGGAGTGAGAGATAACCCCTTGTAGGCTGTAATGCCACTTGGGCATGCTGCAAGAACTCTTCTCCGGTGCGCTGGAGTCAACACACAAACGCGTGCAGCTGTGGAACGGCGGCCATCTTGTGTTGTACCCGTCTTTCGTCGGGCCTCCTTCACCAACGCAGGCACATGGGCCCCTGATCTGATGCTGATATTCTCTGTTCGGTGCGACATCTGGGTCTCTCTGCCTCCTCTGAATGTTGAACCAAAAGGTTTCCCGAGTTCCAAAAAAAGAGTTCCGAAACGAGCGGTTCCCCTCAAAGTTCCAACCACCATGGATTTCCAGAGCATCCATGTCAATATGCCCTACGCTCACCACAAAAACCAATACTTGCGCCACCATGGATCCTCTATAATTTATACAGGAATATGGCCGAACTCGGAAGATTCTTTTAAGAAGGACTCTTGGGTGACCCTTGATGGTCCGACGGGAGTCGGTGGCTCCGGTGGCCCACATGTACAACACCAAGGGGATGGCTCGTGATCCTCTGTCCCGTTCAATCCGCCACGTTATAACAGGTTTAATCAGATCCTTTCAAACATGCAAAGATTGATCACTCACGTTTTCGATCGTGTTGTGAGCTGGCACTCCAATGGGCCTGGGCGTGGCCAGACTCCTCTGAGGCTCCGGGCCCAATAATCCTCCAAGATGAGGAGGATCTCCTATGTACGGGGCAGACAAAGAAGCCCTTTTTCACTGTTCACTGAAAGTATCTAAACAACGACATACATACACTTCGGACCTCAACTTCTTCATCACGAACCCACATCGACAAAATAAGACATGGTGCAAAGTGAAGCGAAGGACGGAATCCTGGTCCCAGTAAGTTTTTGTAAGAGTCCAGGAGCCAAATCATTAGTCATTAGTGCAAGCGTGAGCTATCCTGCGTTCATATGTAGTAGCTTAAGTAGCCAGGAGCATACTCCCTTACTTAGCCAAGTAGGCGCCTACTGAATCAAGTATGGAGGCAGGGCCGCGAGCAAAAGAAGAACATTTTCTTCACTTCGAGTGACCCCTACCGTGACATTTTAATCATTTGTTTTCATGCCATGGTGCGGAGCGTGTTGCCATGGTCGTGAGTTTTGTGGTTTTCGATTTTGGTTGTGGGTCCTCGGGTTTGGGGCTTGTTATTTTAGTGTTAGGGAGTTCGCGTCCGGGTGTCGCCAGGGTCTCCAGTTGGCATCCAGAAGTGCTACCCTGTGACCACCTGCCACGCAAAATGCCACACACAAAGGTATTATTTTTGTAGTAGTTGTGCTTTTGTGGCTGTTTTTGAGTGTTGTCGTTGTGTGTTGTGTTTGTGGCTGTGGTTTTATGTTTGTGGTTATGTTGTGTGTTGTGTGCTGAGGTCCAAGACCCACTGCCATCTGGCGGAGGCGGAAGGAAGGGGAAGAGCTCTAATAAAATCTAACAACCCTCACCTGGCGGGAAAAAGGCAAAGAAAAAGGCTAGCCTTTGGATAGTGAGAGGCCTCAATCTCATCTCAGCTGCGACAGAGGTGTAGGAGTCTGACGTTGCGGGCCACATGTTCTGCCCCAAACCGTTTTGCTTCACCAACCCCACCCTGCTTCGGAGGGTTGAACCCCCAAGGTCTTCATGTTTTCAGGGGTTTCCCTCGTTGTCTGTGGCGGAAAAAACTGGAGATTGAGATGGCCGCGCTCGCATTTTTGGGGCTGAACAACCTTGAAACAAATAGCACTGCGGTGTAAAGAATACCAACACACACACACACACGCCATATATACCTGGAGTCTCAGTTCGTACCTCAAAAAATGGGTACAAGTATCCCATTCTCTAAGGTACCTTGGAGGGTCCAGGTACAAATCCTGCTTTCATGGGACCACGAAAACACATGTAAATCCAACCCATCGCACGCCGCCAGGTTCAAGCTCCCCCCCATCCGCATATCGAAGCGCTTCCACGTCTCAACCGGACCCCGGTCTCGAAGCGCCTGTGCCCGTCCCAGTGCAAAGACCGGCAGCAAGCACCTCGCACGCGAACGAGACGAGACGAGTCAGACGGGGGGGCGAACATCGCAGGCGACCGGGAGGAATGGGACGGAAGGGGGTCGCGCGCGCGTGGCGCCGGACGAGGAGTGTGGTGAGTCTACGGAGTTCGGAGGTTGGCGCACCTATTTGGATGTACTCCACGGATGGAATCAGCCGTGATCTTGGCGCTGTCAGCTGTTGTTGCATGTTTCACGGCACTGCTCTATATAGGAAATCTCATGGAGTTCGACCCAGCACCACGAAAAGGGTGGAGTACAAGTCCACCCTTTTCGTAGACGGTGTATTTTTCCCTCCCATCACCTGCTGGATTTTGCCGTTGGTTCCTTTTGTTCCAGCCCCACTCCAGTGTGATCAGTTGGTTCTCTTTGGTTTTGCACTGCACGGGCGGTGGTTTCCGCATTTGGGGCCAGGCCACCGAAGAAGCTAGAGCCTTTTTCCACCCTCTTTCAGCCCAAACACTGATCTTTTGACCGAAAACCACGGTGCCAACCACAACCGGACTGAACCGATCTCACTCGCCGATCGATTCTTTTCCTCCAGACCACCCCAACTGAGTCAATGTGTGCGGACCCGGTCGTGGTTGGGGTGAGGCATCCAAGAATGGATGATTTCTGAGGGGTGTTGGTTGGTCATTTCAGGTCAAAACCACCAGCTTCACTGCCGTTTTTCCGGCTTCTTTTCTTTTTAGGCAGTTTGCAACCACTCATGCACCTCGTCACAAAGACGGAGTGACAGATGGTAACAAAAGCGATGAGGAAGCACCTCCTTCACAGTCATGTAACTTGAATGAATTGGACAATTCTGGAAAGGGGAAACCCGGGGAAAGAATGCAGCAACAAAACAAGCTAGCTTTCTTGTGACAACTTCCTTTTCTTTCTGTACTTTGCCGTTGCACATCTCGACCTTTCACCATCGACCTTTAGACCTTTCTTCCTTCTCTTCTCGCCTGGTTCCACGTCCCCGAACGACCGACCCACACACACATCATCCGTTGCTTCGTTTCCTCCCTCGGTCCCCATCGGGTCGAACCGGGGGCTCCGTGCTTCCCCCCTTGCCGCACGATCTGGTGCACCGAGTTCGTAAAGCGCTGCTCGCGCTGCTCCTCGTTTCGGATCCAAACGGCAGGTCCGCTGGCGCTTCAAGGCAGGTTCGGGGGGGTCACGTGGGGAGCCGAAAGAACTCCGTTTCGCCGGTTCCGATCCCGGTCGGTGAACCCCGAAGGAACGAACTTCTTCTCGTGAAACGGTGGGGAAAGCACTCGCTATCCAAAATGGCATCCGCATGCATCCGCAGGCTATCCACTTTTCCTGGGTATGCTCCAATACTCGAAAAGGAGGCACTGCGGGGGACAGCTCGGTTCCCAAAATCTCACCCCCCCGCCCGGACGCGTTTGCGTTGCGTTGCTGCCGAGAATCCCTGGGCTCATGGTTCATCACGCCATAGGTGGACCTGGCATCGGTTTGACGCCGATGCTCTGGGTAGGTACGGCCATCGGGGGTATGCGATTCCCCCGAAAAGAAGCCTAATTCTCAGACGCGACCCTGGACCCGAAGCGGAGGATGGAGTTTCTCACCCATCCCTACCTAGAACCCCAGTCCCAACCAGAAACAAATGGTTGTTCCAATATGGCAATTGAAATCCTGAAATCCTGAAGCATAGGAATTGGCTGGGACTGGGAATGTCAACCCATGTGAGGCCTGATATCTCAACCCCCCGAGGCCTGGAGAGGTTCTACCAAGCAAGGACGCTACTAGGAACGGAACAAGGACGGGCATTCGCTATGAGTCCGGAGCGTTCGGACGCTACGAATGGGGGGGCTCCTGGCCTTAGTACTATAGGAAGAAGAAGCTGGAGGTAACAAGGTTTTACCATCTAAAGTGTTTCTTTTACTCATTCAAGCGTCTACCATGACCGAGATCGTTCAATCGATGAAGCTATGAAGCCATCATGATGGGCCAAGTGAGGGGGTCAGGTCAACCAGGCGCTCGGACCACAAGGGGAATTTGCCCAGGTTTGGGGAACACTCACAATTATTTGAACATCACCCGGTCAGCAAGGGCAGGGTCCCTTCTTCATCCCCTGATTCGCCCCCCCTTTGGGCTCCCCAAAGCAGATGGGCGCACTCGACAATGAGCACGTGGATGCGGACATTGGGGATCTCTGCCTCCAGCAAGGTCATGGCTTTGCTAAGCATGGAAGAATGAGGCATTGCTATTAGGTTGGAGGCCATCGCTATTAGAAACAAGAAAAGAAAGACAGGTCAAACGTCCAACGTCTCAAAGACTTGGATCCATTCATCTGGACCGTTTTGGCCATTTTCTTTTTTTTGGGGTGTTCATCTGATCTTCGGTCAGTGAGCGGGTTTCAATCACATCACCATCCTGATCGGTTGTGGAAATGGTTCGGTCTCTACGGTGAGTGGTGGTTCTGATCACAGTTGATGGAAGACCTGGTCTACTCGAAAGAAATCATTCAATCGAAACGATGCGTAAGCACAACCCCAACACAGCAGAATTACATGGTTGTAGCACGTCTGACATATAACCCAAATACCCCATATCCGTCATACATCATATTGGTTCATATTATATATAAATTATATAACAATATATGTTTAGTACAGTTTATGCATGTTTATGCTGTATATTATTGTATTTTGACCCGGGTCAACCACCCCAGCTGATTTATGTCAATATGCCAGTCCCAGACAAGGTAGTGTCTGGGTAGACCGGAGTCGAATCAGTTGACCGTGCGTTGGGGTATTCGGGAGCTTCTGACATTCCGGCCCGGTTGCCTTGAACAAGTCCATTCAGCGTAACTCCGCAGGTAAAAACACAAACACTCTATGTATGGAATAATTGCACGCATTGAGTGGTTTTAGTGTCAATGCACATACATATTCCATACGTACATGAAGTGTTGGGGAAACACATTTGAAGATCTCACCAGCTTTTGAAGCTCCAGGATTTGCTACGCAAAAGGCGCGAACGCGCCGCTCACCTGCGGCAAATGTCGATCCTCTTCTCTGCTATAGTCCCCGGTGTACAAAACACGGATGCCTGGCGCGTGAGTCTTCTCTAAAGCCTCCAGACTATTGGCCTTCAGTAGAGGCTAAAGAGGGTCCAGGCTGCTTCAGGAGACCCTGCAGAAAAGCAAAACACACAGCACAAGAAAAGAACACCCACCAACACCGCCCAAAGGGTGATTGATAGACCCTCCTGATGTACTTTCCATCCAATAACCATCCAAACTGGGTGGTGCTTGGAAATCTATCTTCCTAAGTCCTACCGTCACAAGGAACCGCAAAGAGGTTCCGGACCTTCCTCGCGCGTCGCCGGCGCTTCCTACCGTTGCTGCCGCGTTCGGTGCTTCCGTTGCTTCCGCGTGCTGCTCTCCGTCGCTGCGCCTCCAATGTTGATCATGAACATGGCAGCGCCAAGGACCTCGTGGAGCCGCAGCGCGGTCGCCGGTCGCCCATGGTGACCCGCAGCTGTTCGATTGGTAGGACTTCTGAAGAAAACCCCCGAACTTGGCCAGCAGCGCTGGTTGGGTCGCCCCAAACGGCTGCTGGGGCGTTGGTCCGGCGGAAAGGACGTCCGACATCGTGGTCCGTCCCTGTGACCCGGACGTTTGGCTCTCAGCTCGGCAAAGAGGTCTGGAAAACCCGAGAATGAATGGCATCGCCCCCAAGAATGGGACGAACATCAGCAGTATTATACAGCACCCCACAAACAAAGGGATGAACCCTCGATAGGTCCCAAAACTCCAAAGCTCCCGACGAACACACCGGCTGCTCTCAGTGAAAGAAGGGCCACCGGGCATGGCCGGCGCGGAAGCAGGAGAACTTGATGCCACGGAACTGCCGCTCCTGACGTGCGAAGGAGACATCACCTTCGTCGGACTCGGGAACGGTGGCGCAGCGAAGGGAAGCGAACGATCTCCTTCCGTCTTCCGGTTCCGAAGCGAAGGCGCCACGGACACCGCGCGGAAGCGAAGGGACGCTGGATTGGCTCGCAGGGTGCGGGGGAGTTCGGTCGTTGTTCGGGAGACGCTGTAGGACGTTGCAGGATGTTTTGGGAGACATCGGGTAAGACTGGTAGCAAGAAGCTTCCAAAAGGGAATCGTTTCACCTGTAGTAACAAGAAGCTTTTAGTAGACTAGGGGTAAGGGTGGATTTGCACTGGGATACTCCAAGTGGGTCCATGACAATCTTCGCAGGAAGGCTTCACAACTTTTGTAGCGGGCAGCACAAACTGCGCAGAGATCGAGATGATTTATACATTTCTGCTGTCTCAGTGTTTGTTGGGCAAATGGTGTTGCTCAAAGATCGTCCAGCTTGTCCAACCGCAAGACCACATGTGACTTCAAAACAGTGCGTGGGCTGGACAGTTGCTGTCCTGATTGATCACTCGACATGCACAGGTTCTGGACATCTCACCAAACCAAACATCCTTCAAACAAAGCAGTACCGGATAATACTCGCTAATACGATGATACCAAAGGAGGAGGTCCGGGGAAAGGTCAAGCTGAATTGAGCATCTATAAAGAAGAATCCCTTCAAGGTTGCCTCCGGTTGTTTCTTCATGTTACATCCAACATTGAAGTCCTTCTGCTGTCCTGTCGATATCCTGTCTGCTTTCGAACCCCTGTGATTTCTGATTCTTCCGTTTCCTGTTCATTTACTTTGATCATACAACATTGCCTAAATGTATTCCGGACTAATCCAGAACTGTTTGTGGTTTCCTAGTTAAAATCAAACATTCTACTGTACATACACTCTGAATCAAGAGCTCCCACCCATCATCACAAACAATGCGTAGCAAACAAAAACAAGGAACCACTAAACTAATCAAGGAATCCTCATTGTTGTCAACCGTCAATTCTCATCTATTCAGGAAGACTGCCTCCTAAGAATGCAGTGTTCAAATCTTCTTCTGCCCATTCTTAATCTTGTGGAATGGAATGGATTAGACTGGAAGAAAAGACATTGAGGGTTTAAACAGCCAAACTTGGCATCGCGTTGTGGTCAAACAACACTCGCCGGCATGAACTTCAATGAAGTTCCAAGTTCGACAAACATCGTGTAGACAAAAGACCACCGACTTCTCAGAGTTTCAGAAGTCCAATGGATGATGATCCGATGTTCAGAACAATACATCATGCAACTGGTCTGCCAGATCTTTCCCTCTGGCCCTACGCCCACCGTGCGGTGCCCCCGCGAGGAGAGCTCCTCGCGAACGTCGAACGTCGAACCTGGTCGCCCTCTCCTCGTGATAATCCAGCAATTCGATCTGCTCCACGGTCCTCAAGGGAAAGGGCCCTTTTGAGCCCTTTTGGGCCGCAAAAGGGCCGAAAGGCTTCGTCAACCTCTGGACCTCTGAGTTTGAGTCTTTTGGTCTATCAGTCAAAAATACGGTACCAATAAGGAAACATGATCACATGTTAGAAATCTCAAAAGCTCGCACCTCCACAAATCTCATAAGAATTTGAGGTCATGATCCTGGCATGAACATCAATGGCATGGCACCTCTTTGCTTTGTGACTTGCAACCACTTGCAGGGCTACTGACTACCCTATCCTACCTCAAATGGGTCACGGAGCCACCAGGCTCAGGGATCCAGCTGCCGTTTGAGGAGCTGGATAGCGATGGCAAGAGCCAGCTCGCGGAGGCGAGCAAAGGTTCCCGCGTCCGTTCTTGAAGCGACCCTAAGACTACAAAGAGTGGAGAGGCGGCGATGTTCCAACTTGTTCCAGAAAAAGGTGCAAAAGAAACCACAGCAAAAGAGTCATCCACTCACCTCCAGAAAAACCCACTTCCCCCTCGCTGTGCCATGGAGTCATCTAGGCAGCCCATGGCGAAAAGCCCCAGACGGTCGGAGTCGACAAGACCGGAGTCGCCACGGAGTCGACAAGCCGGAAGCACTCAGACCCTCGTGGAAGGTCATGCATGTCTTGCTCTGGGCCGTTCTGAACGCGAGGAACGAAGCAGAGTTGGAGAAGTTTAGAAGCGTGAGGGTCAACCATCAGGTTGACCTTTCAAATCAGTTCCCTTCACTCATCACTCCCTCAGTTTCCGAAAAAAGAGTGAACAGAACTTTCCATCTGTACAATCTGTACCTGGGGTGTCCCCGTTTTGCAGGTGATCCACCTTTCCTGGGAAGGGCTTCCCGCCCCCAACTCTTGGTCTCCACCCATCCCACGCGGGTAAGTCAACCTCGATCCGCCTCCGCCTCCGGCTCGGCTCGGACGCCCCGCTTGCCAATGTCTTCACTGCTGAAGATCTGGTCCTCTGAGTCGATTGGTTCGGGTGACGAGGGCAGATTCGAAAGCAGATCGTTCACACGAAGGTGGGAACGTAGATGAGCATGAACGAGCATGAACGGGTCCCACCGTGGGCCCGAAAAAGCGGAGGGAGATGGACATCTGTGGTTGTGACTTTTGATCATCTACTTATAGCTCTGGACTTCGTATGTTCTGGACTTTGAGATACAACATCAAGGCGGCTTGCAATGACCATGGATTCTAAGGCAATCGTTTCCGCGACAGGATGTGGCAAGACATTGGTCATTTCCATATTCTCAAACCCAAATTCATCCTCAAACCTAAAACGTCTTCCTATCTACACTCCGACGCACTAACATGGAAGTGGAACCCCCCCTGTTCGTAAAGGAAAGTAGTCTTCCAAGGGACCATGCCATCCCTTCCATGTTGCACTTTTTCAAGTGTGCACCTTTGAACCAGAGTTCTGTGCTCCCAAAGCTATCTTGGCCCCTAGTTCCTGTCCCTTTTACTTTTGGATCATTCCAACCTCGGCGTAACGCCATTGTGGAAGAAAAGATCTTGGAGGTGATCGGCGGCGGTGTGGGTTCCTACACATGTGATGTGTACGTCAGAGTGTCCAGCTTCGGATGAGTATGAAAATCAACTTCACCAGACTAGTCCTCTGCAGCAATCTTGCTGACCCGTGCATAGTCTTGCCAAAGCCTCGGTTTCCGTCTCAGATGAGACGAAGACTGGTCGACCGGACAAGTCGACACAACTGGAACCCAATTCGTCCCGCAATCAGGTTGTTGCACGAAGGGAGGGAGGAATCCGATTTTGTATATTCCCTCGACGTCAAATTACAATCAAGGGAACGACCCGGCAAGCCGTGCTGTGAAACCCTAGAACGTTGCTCGGGATTCAGGCCATTCATGGTGGGCCGGGAATCGGTTCGGGTATGGTGTTTTTGGTGGTTTGGGTCGTTTCAAGATTTCGAATGACGAACGCAGTCTCTTGGCATCAACCTTTTGATGACATGAGCACTATTTGAGCTTTGGCCTCAGGCCATGGATGCTCGATCACTGATGTGGGGGTGTGTTGAAATAGGGTGACCTGGAAGCAATGAGTAGACGGTAGACTGATCTATGTCTCTTCTCCAGGAGGTCTTTGGGAGGTTTCCTTACGTACGGGAGTGGCTTGCCCCACTCCCACCCCCCGGTGGCTGAGGATGCGAAGCCTTTGCGAAAACTACTCACCATCGTGCGAGGGAAGAACAGGATCCTTGTGGTCAGGGAAGCTTGAAACGACCGGCTCCAGAGGCACGCCAGCCACGGCTCGGGATCGCTCCGGGTGTTTCACCCACCCGCCGACACCACCCGCCAAGGCACATCTTGCAAATCGGCCGGGTGGGATGGGTCATGAAGACCTTTCCCTTGAATTCCGTCCGACTCACGAAGTACCTCCCAGCCGCGGGTGTCGGAGAAGCTGTCTAGTGGAGGCCATCGAATGAGCCGAGGGCCTTCGAACTGGGAAGGCTTCTGGGCCGAGGGTACCTGCCTTTAACCTGGCGACCTCTGAGCGATGCCCAAAACAAACTTATACGTATGACCTGCAAATGACCCTAGTGTGGAGCCAAAGCCAGAAAGTGAGGATCTTCTTATTTAATGCATGGAGCTCGTCACATAGGGCACCTCCTCATCACTCCTTTTCCTGAGCATCATGGAATCCTTTAATCCGCGGCTCGCTTTTGGAAGAGCATGGAACAAACAATGTCATAGTATCGCATCTACCAGCACCTTCATTCCGGGGTCTCCTGGCTGGAAGCCCCAGCCCACTACTATACGGGACCTCCAGACAGGACACCCCGAATGAAGGTCCAGGTATAAGCTGTAGGAGCTGTAGGAGCAAGAACACTACTAGAAACTCCTGGCCGTACTACTAGGAACCATGTTCGCTACTAACTAGGGGCTCCTGGCATCGCTACCGCTCCCTTCGCGATCGGAGGCTTCTATATGTTGCTTTAGAACAAAAAACTGCGAAAGAAAACCAAACCTCTCACCTTCTGAAAGGCAGCGCGTGGTCTTTTCGGCAGATGTCACCGTGGGGCTTGGCTCGGTGAGAGCGAACGGCTCGCTGACACATCCGAAGAAATTTGAAGGCTTAAAAACGGTCCGAACCGACACACATGCAGATATTATGCATCTTTATTAAAAACAACACGTTTGAGTTCATTTTGAGTATGGGACTGAGACCTCCAAAGACCTCTTGTAGGGTCCAAGTTCCTTCAGCAATGCTAGGCCGCATGAAACCACAACTTGCAAGAATCTATGTCCAAAGTGTTCAAGTTCTCAATGTCTCACAAATGCATTTTCACCCCACGCACCCTGCACCCCGGTGAACTCCGTGATGGGCGCCCCAACGGCACTGCTCCGCTATGGTCCAAGTGGAAATGCGTCACCAGCAAGAGGTCCACCTGTGCATAGCTTTCGTGCGGGGCGAAAGCGGAAAAGATGTGACGGGCCGACGGCTTTCTGGGCGCCTCCTGCGGGTTGATGTGATCAAAGTAGGGCAAGCAGCTCATGCCGCTGTGCGCAGGGTGAACCCCGCAGTCAAACATCACCACCTGCCACGTGCTTCCACGTACATCCGGCTTTGCAAGGAATAAATCACTCCCTGACCATGTAACGGACTAGTCGCTAAGAATGGAAAACCATGTTTAAACAACAAAACATCTGCGCTCCTGCCTTGCCGCGAAAGCGCACAATGCAGCAGGAGCGGCCCACCTGTCATCAAGCAGACCTTCACAAACACAGTGGGTTGCTCTTCAACTGAAGCCACTCCCCAAAACTATAAGCTTTTCACCCAAGCACGACAACATTGAGAATTGCACCCATGGAAAAGACTCCTATAGCCCATCTCCCAGGTTGCCAAGAGCGCCACGGGTTTCCACATCTAATTGCATGCGACTTTGGATGCCCATGTCCTCCAACAGGGCAAGCTCGCTCTACTTGCAAGAGGCTTGCGGCGTCTTGAATCATTCTAGTCTCTAGACCCTTCCCATCTCCCATCACATCAGAAATTCGTTTTATGTTTGGGCCCTGAGACTATCCATGAACACTTGGTGGAAACTATCACTTTCTTTACCTCCACGCTCCGCTTGGCCTCTGCACCAGCGCCCAACGGGGTAATCTCCAAAACGTCCCCATCCACCTGGCGGTCGGGCCTTGGCGGTCCTCACCACGTTCGGCCCGGTTCGGAACAAGTGGTCTGTGAACCACCCTGACCCCCAAGCAGATTTAAGAGCCTGCATCCCGAAAAACCATTGCTCTCCACCTGCCAGGTGAGGGTTGTGAGATTTTATCAAAGCTCTCCTCGCCTTTTTCTCCGCCAGTACCTGATCGCAGTGGGCAGCACCGGACCTCAACCGGGCACCGCCGGATGTCAACCGCAAGCGTCAGTCCGGTGGGCACCACCGGGCCTCAACTGCGAGTGTTAGAGTGGGCACCGTGAGCCAGATAGAAAGGAGGTCAAAGCCGGTGGCTCTGCAGCTGCAGCCTATGCCCGAGTGAAAGCCCAGCAATTGAACGCTGGCGACCGGTGCCGAGGACACGGGGTCCGCTTTCAACCTTGGTCTTGGAGACCACTGGTGCCTTTGACGCTGCCAGCGGCCAGGTTTTTCTACACTTGGCTCGAGCCGTTGCCGCTCGGGTGGGAGCGGAGGCCTCTGAGCTGCATGGGCACTTGCTTCAAGAACTGTGCATCACCGTGCCTTCCGTGCTCGTGCGGCGCAAGGCTTGCACCGAGTGGAGCTGGGCAAGGAGACCTGGTCCGTGCCTCAGCCGCCGCTGCTGTGCTCGGCACTTCGGCTTCTACGTCCTGAGTGCTGGGCCTAAATGGTGCCACAGTGTGCCCGTGCTTTTCGCATTGTAGCTGCGGTTTGGCCAAGCCACCTCTCTACATGCACCGCGGCGGCTGCAGTTCCTGTTCTCTGCTTTCCTTTGGGGGCTCAACCGGCGGTGCAAAATACGCCGTTGGCGTGCGGCCGGGACGCGTTGGTCCTTCGATGCCTGCCTCGGTCCGCCGACCCCGGACGGGCACCGTGCCGTCCTTTTTGGTCCGTGGCCCGCGGGGGCGGCCACCGTGGCCCACCCCCCTTTCGTCGAGAGGGTCGATATATAGAGATCCGTACCTCAGAACATACCTTTGAAGCCATGCACTGGTAGTATCGAGCTTTTTGGCCATCGAACATTGCAACATAGAATGCCCGAATATATGCCAGATAGAATGCCATAATGTATGCTAGATAGAATGCCATGATATATGCCAGTGTATATGCAAGACGAACACTTTCTTGGTGATGTTGAAGCAATATAGCCGTCGGTGATCAGCAGAGTATAATGCCATGGTGGGTATCACTCGAAGCAAAGTAACTTTGCTCAGGATTTTACACTACACACACACCCAGCTCAACCGAACTCCTTTAAATGGTCGAATGAAAGGTTCAGGTGTGAATCACAATCACCCTAAGAATTCGGACCCAACCCAATGCGAAGGGTTTTCGGGTCCGGACCCCGGCTCAAGGATTCTGAGGGGCCCAACACCCCGAAAACTGGCAACCATGAAGGTCTCGGGCACAAAACCACTCAGGGTGCTGGTGATTAATCTCAAGGGGAAAAAAGCTACTCCCAGGGTGTCTCCCTATTCAAACGAAGAGCAAATACGCCGGAATTCATTAGATTAAAACACATCTTAAAGCTATCCAATTCATCCCAAAACAAGAAACAACACATAACAACCACCAATTCGCTCCTTTGACGTCGGTCGCCCCGCCGAACGAAACGAATTGCCTCGATGCGCCGCGTCGTCCCCGCAGTGATGGCTGGAACGCTCATGGCGATGGGTCGGCTGGGCTTCACGGCTCCGCGGCACTTTTGACTGAGAAGAGTTCCAACACCCTCTTAGATGTTGGGCTTTTTTTCACCAAGGGCATGGCTACGAGTCGCGAACGACGAGTCACTCGAGCGATCGGGCGTGACGAAGCACCTCTCACTACGTCCCTAAAACCAAAGCTCGCCACAGCTAGTGTAGAGTAGTTTGGTCAGGAGACGTGGTATACGAAAGGTGCTACGATCGCCTCAGTGAAGCAATGGAAGTAGTCCGACCGTCTGCGTCCAGTCGACGGGATTTCCCGGTTTCACCGGTCCGACCGGATCCATTGCTAGTGCGAGGCCATTGCTAGGTTTCCCCCTTTTTCGGCGAACTGTCAAACTCCATGCGGTTTGAGCCTGATGCGGCATCCGCTGCAGAAGCTGTACTGTCCGAGCGATAGAGACAGCATCCTTGGGTGGGCCATGGTGGAATGAGCTCTTGCTTGCAAAAGCGATATGAGTCCAACACCCCAAGACTCATTGCTTCTTGGCAAGTTCATTTTGGTCTTGAGGGTCAAGACATTTATCATACACTCATTGATGTTGTAGTACAAACCCTTTCTCATTCTTAGTACTTTGCTAGCCAACATATGCAATACAAATAGTAGGGTGAAACCTGGAAGTGACATCTTATTTGTTGGTGGACTTGACTGTGACATCTCTTTCTTACCTTCAAATCCAATAGAGTTGTATCTTAGTGCACACATCATGTTCCATGTTTACCTTCTTTCTAAACCCAACACATGGATTCTTTGAAATGGCCCGGTTCATGTGGTAACCCCCGGATGTGGCCCGGTGCGAGACCAGATGCCTGTCCCGACCCTTCGACCGTTGGTCCAGCTAGCACTTCTTTGCTCCCTCCGTGCGCCCACGCCAGTCTTCCCACGCCCACGCCGGTCTGAAAGCTTTGAATTCCTCCACAAAGGACCCTGGCCACACTGAAAAGCGACCCGTCCGGGCAAGTTCTGTGGTTCTTTCCATCTATGACCATCTATGAAGTATTGTTACGCATTTGGGCCCATTACCGGGGCCCGTTTCGGATGATGATCGGGCCTGGTTGCAGGTGATTTCTCAAAAATAGTGATCATCCTTTAAACACTGGTGACCCCAATGTATTGCATTGTCAACCTCTTGATTCAACTGGCTAAGTCCGGACGTTCTGTCAGGCGACCTTCGGTTCGGGGCCTTTTCGTCGAAGCACCGACCAACAGCCCCAAGACGCTCAACAAGAGGCAAGGAAGCCCCACCGGTTGGGCCATGCTGGGCCATGCAGCTCGTTCGAATTCACGCCAAGCTCAGGACATCCTGGCGCATCGGCCCATCGGTTGCATCGATTCGCTCTCTCGGTCTGCTCCTGCATGCTTTTGGAATTGGAAGAGAAGGATCTTACCCTGAGAGTCCAGGAAAGGACTCGTTTTGCCTGGTAGTCCAGGAAAGGGGCCTGCAGGTGAAACAACATGAGTCCAAACGGAAGTTTTGGATCAAGGTTTTCCATGGATTCCAATCACCATTGCTTGAAACGGTTTTACTAGCTCAATCACCGATCACCCGTGTTCGATGTGGGGAAACACCAGCAGCAGGGTGCCTGCCTTAGAAGGGCCAGGAGCTCCCAGAGTCCAATCTACGTCGCCATCCCACCGCCTCTCACCCTTCGTCGGAACCACGGGGAGCGAGGTCGCGAGGTCGCGAGGGAGGTCGCTGTGCGGTGCGGTGCGGTCGGTCCACGGTGGCCTCGGTCGCAGCGTTTGGCAAGTCTCTCGGCATCGCTCCACCTGGCAAAAAAGAAAGACACCAAAGCCACAGACTACGAACCTGTGAAGAGATGGACTCTTGGATTGGCCAAAAAGGAGCCGGGAAGCTTCCAAAGGGGAATCAATGGTAAAATCCAAATCACCTTAAGCAAAAACACAGTAACGCTTCCTTCACACTCTTTCTCCCAAGTAGTTTTGGAATTCGTCAATTGCTGATCGCCAAGGGTGGAATGTCGCGTTTCAACACGTCCGCGAAGATGAGACAAGAGCTGAAGCTACGAAGCAGACCGTTTTGGGACCAGTCTCACCCTAGGATTCCTGGACCACCATGGACTAAGCATGGTTTTACCAAAAATTCTACACTACAAAGCCACGCCAACAAGGGTTGAATGGAAAGGCGACCTCCACTGGGGTCTGCAGAAGAAGTCGGTTTCACCGGAGAGAGTGAGAAGAGAAGTGCCAAGAGGAAGCCAAGCCGTTGGGAAGTGATTTGGATGGACATACTTCCCTCCCCTAAGAATCCGGACCCTCAAACACATTGGGTTTTGAGGGTCCGGACCCCGGCTATGGAGGGTCCGACCCCTGCCATGGAGAGCCCAAGGATTCTTAGGGTCATTAAATTATATGTTGGAGTCTGTGACAACGTTGTGGACATCCTAAGTTGGCTGTCTGATCTGTCCATCGATTGGCTTCTGAACGTTGGAGAAGATTTGCTTTCGAGTCTCACACAAGCAGGGTCAAGTGGCCAAGCAAAGCCCCACGCACCCCAACACTCCATGGGACTTGAATATACCTACCTGGAGTCTCCAGCAGGTCACCAATTGAAACCTGTTAGGGCCCGGCCCAACCCTCCATGTCGGAGACCTGGAGTCTCCAGTTACCTCAGACCGTTGGGTACTGTCGCTGCTTTCTATTCATGTCGTCCCATTCGGGTCCAGTGTCGGGTCCAGTCACCCAACAGTTCACCGTTTGGGTCCAGCGACGAACGGGGCGCGCTCTTCTGGCCTTACTAGTAACAAGAAGCTTCTATAATTCAGCCCGTTCCCTTTCCACTGGCCACTCCCGTTGTGGATCTTTCGCCGTCGGATTCTCCGATGGGTCTCCCCGTCGGCGTCGGAAGCGTAAGATCTGCGCCTCCTTCAACAAGATCTGCGCGCGGAAGCGCAAACCCTGCCGGTCGAGAAACCCAAAGCAGCGTTCGGACGCTACTTGGTGGCCATCGCTCTTAGGTTGGAGGGCCATTACTACTAGTAACAAGGTTCGCTACGAACGGGGCTCCTGGCCTTACTACGTACTAGGAGCAAGTAGCTACTATAGTAACAAGAAGCTACGAACGTAGCTAGAAGCTATTGGGCTTGGAGGCCATCGCTCCATCGCTACGAACGGAACGTTGGACGCTACGAACGTCGCTGCAGCGAGGAACCCCGCGTGTTTGGAGCTTCGGAGCATCGTTGTGGTCGACGTGGAGGTGAGACCTGGCGAAGTAGCCTTCGAAGGCCTTCCAATGCCTTCAGAGAAGAATTCGCCTGTGAAGTCACATGTCCAGACACGACCTGTTTGGGACTGCCAGGCCGGACGACCGATCAATTGACCCCCCCCAAAACCACCACCCCGATCGGCCGGAACTGGCAGTCCGTCCTGGCAGTCCCAGCGGTCGGTCGTGTCTGGGACTTGGTCCTTCAAACACCGTTGACTGCCGTCGACCGCCATCGACCGCTGGAATGGGATCTCTGCGACCTGCAAACCGCGACCCGAGGACCGACGGACCCACGGACCGAAGTGGACCTGAGAACGGTTCCAGCGTGGAAGAGACCGCTGCGAAATCCCAAAAACACGGTGGGACTCACCTTTTGGTTATATGATCTCATATGATGTCATATGAGATTTGGTCCGGGAGATCGCAAAGAAAAGAACAACTCTGGTCTCATCTGGTCTCCCGGAGCAAATCTCCCACCAGAAATCCTGTTGCATGGCCTGCTGAGCATCGCCCTCAGTGCACCTGACCGGCTCACGAGTGAGGCGGGTTCACGACCATCGTTGACTCACGGCAAATGGATCTTGATATGGGGATACGAACGGAGCGATTGGACGCTACTACACGGGGCTCCTGGCCTTACGAACGGAGCGATCGGGATCTTCGGGCCGGTCGCACGACCAGTCCACCAGTCCCATCGCCACCGGTCGGTCCGGTGTGCGGACCGATGGGTCGCACAGTGCCGGTGCAGTCGGGTCCTCAGTGCGTCAGTCGGGTCCTCAGGTACTCAAAGAAAGTGAGAGTTTTGTTAAAAATTCATTGAACTCTCTGAACTCTCTGATGGTTCTCACTCTTCTCTCGTTCGGTCTATGGTTTGGCTTGGAACCACACCACACATCGTGCTATCTGGATCCACTGGCTTTGTGCGAAAAGGACTTCTTACTGCTTGTCACGGCGCAGAAAGAGCCCCCCCCAAATACATGGGTTCTTTGTAACAGGAAGCAGGGTCCTCTGGTGATTTTCATGCGGCCAAAAACTGATGTGTGACCATCCTGTCCTCACCTCCGTCCTCCCTCCGGTTCACACTGAACCCGGTGTTTGCGTGGTCTGTGCCGACCTGTTTGTGAAACCACCGAAGGGGGTTTCGCTGCTAAGACCACTGGGTACTTGGAGGGTCCAGCTTCACAAGAAACCAACTGACCGCAGTCGTCCTTCACCGTAGCGCAGTCGTAGGTTTTTGAAGGCGTGGCCTCCGCTTCTGAAGCTTCGTCTCCAGCAAGTGACCCATCTGGCGGGTGGGCAGAAGTGGATCATTTCACTCCAAATCTTCTATGATGATAGTGAGAACAGATCATAGGGCGATGTTCTGATATTCTGGAGGAATCTTCGGGGAAGATGTGTTTTGCACACTCCCTGGAATCGATATCGGCCAACGGCGAGAGTGACAATGCCACCGTCGATCCGATGATCTGTTTCCGTCCATGAAGCACTAGCCTGAACGGTGCATTTTTGAGAGATCCGGGTGATGTGGCGTGAACATCAGAAGACTCAAAATCCGGCATTGATCAAGTGTTTCTCTTCCACTGTGGATGGTATCCTCTTTTTAGAACCACTACTACTGTTGGAGCAGCTCGTTTGATGTTGGAAGGGAACTGGACATATAGAGCACCACCGGATTCTGTAAACCACCATTCGGTGGTGTTCTGTGGAGGCTTGGCTTGTGCCCCACAGCAAGCCATAAGGCTCCTGCGGTTTGCTCACGCCCTATAGCTGCTCCTTTTTGTCGCTCCAAACACAAACGATGCTAGTAGCTTCTTGCTCCTAGTAGTACTGCATGGCTTAAAGAAATCATCCCATGACAGGACATTCC